TTTTTCGTATTTATTTATATATTTATTCTCTCGTCCTCCCTCCTCCCCCCCCCTCCTCTCCGCACTGGTTTCCACGCCTTTCTCCAGACCACACTCGCTACTCCCTTACGCACCGGCTCCCACACCCCCGCCCCCAGGACACGCGGGGAGGGGAGAAGGTGCCGCTGGGGTTTCGGGGCCAGAGGGGAGGCGACAGGGGATGCCGAGGGAGAGCGAGGGGGCGAGCGGTGCTCCGGGTAAGTTGTGCAAAGTGCTCCCCTGGAGTACGCGGAGGAGGGGGCCGCGCGCGGGAGCCGATAGGTCCCGACTTTTCTTTTATTTATGCGGAGGGAAGGGGGCCAGGGCGGAAGGGAGTCGAGAACCAATAACGAAAAGAAGTCGCCAACCAATTTTTTCCCCCCTTCTCTTTTCTAATCCCCGACTCGGCCTGGTTTTGGGGGGAGAATTTGAACTGCCCGTTAAAACCCAGGGAGCAAAGGCCAGGGGTTGGGGGGCGGGAGGAGGGAAGAGAGGGGGTTAACTTTGTCCGAGTGTCTCCTGCCGGCGGGGGGGCGGGCTGCAAGGGAATGTCTGCCTCCGGCGGTGGCTCCCCTGGACCCTCGCCTTCTCTCTGGCCTCCCAGGTCAGCGCCCGCTGCCTTTCACATCTTCTCCTTCATTTCACTCGCACACGCAATTTTCCGCGAGTGGGACCGAGGGTGACTTCAAGGGAGCGATTTACGACTTTCTCTGAAATCGTGTCAGCTCTGAGAGGCTGAGAGTGACTGGCAGGGTCTGGTGCTTAGAAGACTGGGTCTGTGGGGTGTTAGGGAACCCCCTCCCCATCCATCCCTCATCCTTCCCTGCGCAGCTCCCGCGGGTTAAAACCCCTCACTCTCTTCCGCCTCCCAGGCCACACCCAGAACTCATTTCCAGCAGGTAGTCGGGTTCCCTGAGGCTGAACCACAAAGGGGTGCCCAGGATCTGGGGGTCCCAAGGGGTGGGAGGGAGGGAGCGGGTCAGCACTTGGTACCGCCCTGAGCTCATTAATTCCGAGCTCCTCCGCTCAGAATCTGGAGGGGGCGCGCCCCAATCGCGCGGTCAGGAGTGGGGGTGGGGTGGTCAGAGAGGCCCCGACATTCTGCGCGCTCCTGGGCCTGAGTGACTGGACGCCCGGCCTCGGATGGACGCTGAGTCCTGGGGGCGAAACGCCCTCCCAGCGGGGCAGGACGCCAGGGCCGCAGGCCTTTTGTCTCCCCCGGGAAATAGTGTCTCCAGCACAAAATACAATAAAATAAACCCAGCCCTCAGCCTC